TTTTCTCCTTACCTCTATCCCCATTATCCCCAACTGCCTAGTATAACCACTGTTACATTGAAATTTTCTTTGAATATTATACATATATATGTTTATATAAAAATGATGTATGTATATATGCTTGTGGGTATACATATATATATATAACATATATATTAATGGTAGCATACCATTCATACTGTTCTGTTACCACGCTTTCTTACTTAAACTATATCATGGGAAACCATCATTGTGAGTACATGAAGACAGCTACCTTATTATTTTTAATCTAAATTTTTAAATACACACAAACTAGGAAGAAATGTATAATGAACTCCCTTGTATCTGTCATTCAGCTTCAACCATCAACTGGCTGTCTTCTCTTTAAAGTTTCAAATTTTGCCATTGCGTGAATATAATACTTTTTATTTAGTTAATCTCTTGTTGATGGACACATTGTGTTCAAATGATTAATTTTGTTTGTATTGTAGCATAGTTCATGTACACTAAGGTACACATATCTTAAGTGTATAGTTCAATGAGTTTTGACAAATGTATATGTCCATAAAACCATCACTGAAACTACAGAACATTTCCCATAATCCTGAAAAATCTCTTATGCTTCCCCCCAGACAACACTTCCACTAAAGTAAGTATTGTTCTTATTTACATAAAACTGTAGGATAGTTTGTTTGTTCTATTTTGATAAATTGAGATATAATTTACATAGCATAAAATTCATGCTTTTGAAGTATACCATTCAGTTATTTTTAATATGGTCACAAATCTGTGCAACCATCACAACTAATTCCAAAACTAATCCCAAACTCATCACACTTCATACCTATTATAAGTCACTCTCATCCCCTCCTCACCACATCAGCCCCTAATAGCCCCTTAATCTGCTTTCTGTCCCTATAGCCTATCCTAAGTATTTCATACAAATGGAATTGTACAATATGTGACCTATCATGTCACATCCTATCGTGTCACATATTGTATGATTCACGTATTCACATATTGTACTGGCTTTTTCACTTAGCGTAACGATTTCAAGGCTGAACATTTGTGTCCAAGTTTTTGTGTGGACATGTGTTTTTAGCACTTTGGATATATACGTACAAATGAAATTGTGGGTCATATAGTAATTTTATGTTTCGCTTTCTGAGGAACTGCCAAACTATTTTTCAATGTGGTTTCACTATTTTACATTAGTGTCGTCAGCATACGAGGATTTCAACTTTTTCACATTCTCATTTGTTATTGTCCATCTTTTTAATTATAGCCATCTTGGTAGCCATATAGTATCCCTCTGGGGTTTTGACTTGCATTTCCCTGATGACTAATAAGGTTAAGCATCTCTTCACGTGCTTACTGACCATTTGTGTACCCACTTTAGAAAATGTCTACTCGAAGGGCACGGTGGCTCATGCCTGTAATCCCAGCACTTTGGGAGGCCGAGGAGGGTGGATCACAAGGTCAAGAGATCGAGATCATCCTGGCCAACATGGTGAAACCCCGTCTCTACTAAAATAGCTGGGTGTGGTGGCATGCACCTGTAGTCCCAGCTACTTCGGGAGGCTGAGGCAGGGGAATTGCTTGAACCCAGGAGGCAGAAGTTGCAGTGAGCCAAGATTGCACCACTGCACTCCAGCCTGGTGCCTGGTGATAGAGAGAGACTCTGTCTCAAAAAAAAGAAAAAAAGAAAACATCTACTCAAATATTTGGGCTTTTATTTTTTATTTTATATTTTATTTTTTATCCCACTTACTGGTATTCAATAAAAGTTGTGTATTTTATTTTTATTTATTTGTTTATTGAGACTAAGTCTCACTCGTGTCATTCACGATCTCTGCTCACTGCAACCTCCACCTCCTGGGTGCAAGCAATTCTCCTGCCTCAGCCTCCCAAGTAACTGGGACTACAGGCACCTGCCACTAACCCGGATAATTTTTGCATTTTTAGTAGAGATGGAGTTTCAACACATTGGCCAGTCTGTTCTCAAACTCCTGACCTAGTGATTCACCGCCTCAGCCTCCCAAAGCACTGGGATTACAGACATGAGCCACCATGCCCAGCTGGGCTGTTTTTAATTGTGTTGTCTTCCTATTAATGAGTAGTAAGAATTCTTTGTATGTTCTGGATATCAGACTTTTATGAGACATGATTTGCAAATAGATGCTCCCATTCTATGGATTATGTTTTTTGCTTTCTTACTAACATTTTTTGAAGCAGAAGAGTTCTAAATTTTGACAAAGTCTATTTATTTTTTTCTTTAGTTGCTGGTGCTTTAGATGTCATATTTTTAAAAAATTGTCTAATCCAAGGTCACAAATAATTATATCTATATTTTCTAAGAATTTCATAGTTTCTGTTTGTACATTGAGGTTGTTGTTCCACTTCAAGTTAATTTTTGAAGGTGATGAGAAGTAGGGATCCAAGTTCATTCATTTGCATGTGAATAAGACATCTGGAGTCCATAACCAAAAGAAAGCTGGGTAGCTATACTATTATTAGCTAAAATTGACATTAAACCAGGAATTATTACTAGAGACACAGAGCAACACATCAAAATGATTAAGAGTACAATCTATTCAGGAATAAATTCTATTTTTATATACACCTAATGGCATAGCTTCAAAATATATCAAACATAAATCAGTAGAGTTGATCAGAATTAAATTGGTAGAATTTATTGATTAAAAGATCAATAAATAATTATACAACCATATTGTCAGTCATTAACCCACATCTCTCAGTAGAAACATATTGAAATCATGACCAACACAATTAATATTCTTTATCTAGCTTACATAGATCGAACACTTACCTCAAAAGAACAGAATATACATGGAATATTTAGCAAAATTGACTGTAATCTGAATCATAAAGTAAGCCTTAATCAATTTCAAAGAACTTAAATCACTCAGAATAGTCATACTCTCTGACCATAAGATATTAAGCAAAAATTCAATAACACAAAGATCATTCCTGTACTTGCTAGATATAAGGTTAATTTTTCAAATGTATTGTCACAGAAAAACACCAAGACAAAACAGAGGCTTGAGGTAGGGTAGATTTTTTTAGTCTCTGAATAGAGCAATGTAACATACTACTTGCAAATTTATTTTCTGTTTGGGGGCAGAAACTTTGGTAGCAGTGGAGTGGGGTGTTGCTGAACAGATACCCAAAAATGTGAAAATGACCTTGGAACCGTGTAACAGGCAGAGGTTGAAATAGTTTGGAGGACTCAGAAGAAGACAGGAAAATGTGGGGAAGTTTGGAGCTTCCTAGAGACTTGTTGAATGGCTTTGACCAAAACGCGGATAATGATATAAACAAATAAGGTCCAGGCTGAGGTAGTCTCAGATGGAGATGATGAACTTGCTGGGGCTACAGCAAAGGTAACTCTTGTTATGTTTTAGCAAAGAGACTGGTGGCATTTAGCCCCCGTCCTAGAGATTTATCCTAGGAACTTTGAAATTGAGAGAGATGATTTAGGGTATCTGCCGCAAGAAATTTCTAAGCGGCAAAGCATTCAAGAGGTGACTTGGGTGCTTTGGAAGGTAATTGAATCATGCAGGTAAGTCTTTCCCATGCTGCTCTCATGATAGTGAATAAATCTCATGAGATCCGATGGTTTTAAAAAGAGGCATTCCCCTGCACAAGCTCTCTCATTTTTTGCCTGCCACTATTCATGTAAGACATGACTTGCTCTTCCTTGTCTTCCACCATGATTGTGAGCCTTCCCCAGCCATGAGAAACTATAAGTTCAATTAAACCTCTTTCTTTGTAAATTGCCCAGTCTCAGGTATGTCTTTATCAGCAGGGTGAAAAAAGACAAATACACTTCATTTAGAATAGTAATCTCCAATTCCATCCACGTTGCTGCAAATGCCATTATTTCATTCTTTTTATGGCTGAGTAGTATTCCACAGTATACATATACTACATTTCTTTATCCTGTCATTGATTGATGGGCATTTGGCCTGGTTCCATATTTTTGCAATTGCAAATTGTACTGCTATAAACAGGCATGTGCAAGTATCTTTTTTGGCACAACAGCTTATTCTCTGGGTAAATATCTAGTAGTGGGATTGCTGTATCAAATGGTAGATCTACTTTTAGTTCTTTAAGGAATCTCCACACTGTTTTTCATAATGATTGTACTAGATTACATTCCTATCAACAGTGTAAAAGTGTTCCCTTTTCACTGCATCCATGCCAACTGGGTTTTTGTTATTATTATTTTATTATGGCCTTTATTGCAAGAGTGAAGTGGTATCACATTGTGGTTTTGATTTGCATTTCCCTGATAAATAATGCTGTTGAGCATTTCCACATGCTTGTTGGCCATTTGCACATCCTCTTTTGAGAAATGTCTATTCATGTCCTTAGCCCACTTTTTGATGGGATTATTATTTTTTTTCTTGCTGATTTGAGTTCTTGAGTTAGATTCTGGTTATTAGTCCTTTGTCAGATGTATAGATTGTGAAGATTTTCTCCCACTCTGCGGGTTGTCTGTTAACTCTGCTGATTATATCTTTTGCTGTGCAGAAGCTTTTTAGTTTAATTAAGTCCTATCTATATATCTTTGTTTTTGTGTTGCTTTTGGGTTCTTGGTCACAAAGTCTTTGCCTAAGCCAGTGTCTAGAAAGGTTTTTCTGATGGTGTCTTCTAAAACTGTTATGGTTTTAGGTCCTAGATTCAAGTCCTTGATCCATCTTGAGTTGATTTTTGTATAAGATAAGAGATGAGGATCCAGTTTCATTCTTCTACATGTGGCTTGCCAGTTATCCTATTTGTTGAATAGGGTGTCCTTTCCCCACATTATATTTTTGTTTGCTTTGTCAAAGATCAGTTGGCTGTAGCATTTGTCTTTATTTCTGGGTTCTCTATTCTATTCCATTGGTCTATGTGCCTTTTTTTATACCAGTACCATGCTGTTTTGGTGACTGTGGTATTATATTATAGCTTGAAATACAGTAGTATAATGCTTCCAGGCTTTGTTCTTTTTGCTTAGTCTTGCTTTGGCAATGTGGGCTCTTTTTTGGCTCCTTATGAATTTTACAAAATAATTATAAAACCCCAAAGTGACTGAAAATAATTTGATCTCTTAGAGAATTACAGTAGGAAGCTCTTTGCTGAGGCTTGCCACTAGAGGGAAGTAGCACATCCAAAATAAGCTATCTTTAGACCTGAAACACAAACACTGAAAGATTGCTAACTGATTTGGTTCCTAGTTCTATGTAAATGAGTTCACATATACAGTCACAAGAGGGAGCTGTTACAGCTGCAAATACAAGCCCTTTCCAGGGTGAGAGAGGTTGTCATTGAGTTGTACAAGGAATTTATGTTCATTCTTTTCATCACCTTGTACTTTATTATCTCTTTTTGAGTGTGTGCATAGCTTCAAAGACAAGGGTAAGCCCCTTCCCAAATGCAAAGCAGAAGTGACACTGAACGGGAAAAACAGAGAGGTGATTAATATATAGCTCAATTTTAAATGGTGAAGTATTTGTTGCTATAATGGACTGTCAATTTTAGTTATTGTAGTAGAGATAATGAGTAATTTTATTCCTTCCCATTTCTTTAATAAGCACTTTTGAGAATAACTAGAGAAACCCCTTCATGGTTACTTCTACCTCTCTTATCAAATGGCATCATTTCATTTCCCTCTCCAAATCTCTTCCCATTCTCCCCTTTTCCCTAGTGTCTTCAATGCATGCAACTCTTAGGCATCATGAAGATGAGAAAACATGTTAAGGAGGAGCTCAAGTGGCATAGAAATCGGGACCATTCAAGCCATTGGCTCCTGTCTCAAAATCAGAGGCACCAGCAATGTTTATCTGGAAAACACTTAGAACATCATTCTAGGAGCCAGTGTGGGAGACCTGAGTACCAGGAAACTTGGCTTTAACCTGAGCTCTAACTTTCTTTCCTTTCACGCTTAGCACAGCAATATTATACAACTACAAAATTATTTTTGTTATATATGTTGCAAGTAACTTCTTTCATTGTGTTATTTTATTTTCAATTTTGCTTATGGTAATTTTTTTTTTTACCAGAAAGAAGTTTCTAACTTTTGAAATTAAATTGTATACTATTGCTTCTAAGACTTACCCTAAAGATGTGGATTGAAATTTTCTTCTTTCTCTTACAGCACAGGGCTCACATAGACTTCTTGGAATAAAGGGCATTTCTTACCAGCTCAATGGATTGTCAAACCACCAATTAATAGTGGGTTTTGTCTTTACCATAGTAAGGGATGGGTAATCCCACTGTGTTTTACTCCTTTAGATGTAGCCTACTTGAATTTCAACCTTGAAAATGATCTCAATGGAAACTTTCTGAATTAAAGGTAGATTTAGGGAAAATATTTTTCCTCCCTTTTTAAAGTCTTGGGGTTTTTTAATTAATAAATAATAATTGTATTTTATCTTCTTTTAAAATTTATGTTTAAACCTGGGGGTAGGCTAAACCTAACCAGGAAGCTGCTCTATCTTTAACTGACAATTGATGGGGAGCACTCAGATTGAAACTTGCCTGGTGTGGGATGTGCTGTGGCTGCTGCTTTGTTTCCTGGGGCCTCCCCTGACCTAGTATCTGGCACAGATTCTGAGTTCTGGGGCCTGGAACTTCAGTGTGCACTTGAACAATGAAGCTGGTGACAAGCATTACCGTATTCCTATCTTTGGGTAAGTGTTCTGGGCCTAAGAAAGGGTAGTTTTGTGGCTGATGATGAAGGAGAGTTGTCTGCTGTCTCCACATTTTCCACCATGATTTACCAATTGCTGGAAAGAATTTGTGTCTGTGTTTCTCGAGGGTGTCTGAGTGTCAGTGTGAGGGGCTGGTCATATCCACTACTCACAGAAGATTCCCCGGGTCTCACAGTTTCTCAGGCTGTAAGGAGTTTTAGGTTCACTGAGCTCAAGGGTCATGGAAGATGGGAAATTTATTTTGGCCTTGTGGCTCTGGTAGCTCAGGAACAAATAAATACCAGTAATATTTCATTTGTCCTGTGCAACATACATAAAAATACTCAAGTATGGAATAGGGCAGGTAAGACAGTTCCGGAGTAAGCCAAGAATTGATGATCCAGAGCTAATTTGCTATTTTTCAACCCCATAGGTATTATGGGTGATGCTAAGACCACACAGCCAAATTCAATGGAAAGTAATGAAGAACAGCCCGTACATTTGCCTTGTAACCACTCCACAATGAGTGGAGATGATTACATACACTGGTATCGACAGCTTCCCTCCAAGGGTCCAGAGTACGTGATTCATGGTCTAAAAAGCAATGTGAACAGAATGGCCTCTCTGACAATCGCAGAAGACAAAAAGTCCAATACCTTGATCCTGCACCGTGCTGCCTTGAGAGACGCTGCTGTGTACTACTGCATCTTGAGAGACCACAGTGGAACATATGGGGCTGCACCTGTGCAATATCTCCCTGATTGTGGAAGAGAAGGCATCTAACAAGGCCACTGCACAAGAAGGATCAGAAGTTTAATAGAGGAATAAGAAAATTTAAAAAGAAAAGGGAAAAGAAGTAAAGAGGAGGTGGTAAGGAAATCAATAAGAGGATTAAAGGAATGAAGAAACTGAGAACAGTTGAGAAGTACTGAAGAAAGGATTGAGAAGCTTGGTGAAGAGATGGAGAATCATAATTGGAATCTTGCAATCAAGAAGAAAGGAAATAAGAATTTTCCAGGACACTTTCTTTTAATCAACTCTTGCTTTCCATGTAGATCTCACTACAAAAGATGAGAACAACCATTTGGTTGTCCCAAAGCGTTTCTTCATCTAGCCCCGGGGAAGTGCCTGGGCTTTGAATATTACATCATATTAGTCCTTCCAACCTCTCAAAAATTGAAATAAATTTCAGAAATTGATTCAGTTTTCCTTGTTACTTATCCATAGCACACACTCTTGGGATATAGATGATTTCTGGAAGGGAGCAAGAAATTGAATATTGATTTCTTTTTTAAAATCTATGTTGAATATCTTTATTATTACACAAAAATACACAAATCTTTTTTCATTGTAAAAGATTCAAGCTATTAAATATGTGGAGTAAAACCTTAAAGACTCAAACTGTCTGTTTCCATCTCCATCCCATTTTCTCTTCACTTCCTACAGTAACCCATTTGACAGTTTGGAGTATGTCCTGACGATCATACTCATTTTCATTTACATGGATACTCACGTAAATATCTGCCCCATTTTCTTACATCAGTTGGATCATACCATGTGTATTTGTCTGAAACTTGATTTATTTTTATTTAAAAATAATTTTTTGAAGGTGTGTTCATACCAGGATATATGTGTGTGTATGTGTATATGAACTGACCTTATTCTTTTCAATATCTACAAACATTTGCAGTATAGTTGTATAATTTTATTTACTTCACCTATATCATCTCTACATATTAAATATATATGACATATATATACACACACGTGTGTGTGTGTGTGTGTGTGTGTGTGTGTGTACATATTCCTTATAGAGTCCTAGAAGTGGAATTACTGGGTCAAAAGATATGCCTATTTTATATTTTTATAGATATTGAAAAGTTGCATTCCAAAATGGCTTTAACAATTTAACCTAAGATCAGGAACATGGCAAAAATATCTAATCTCACCACTTCTATTCAACATTGTCATAGAGAATCTAACCAATGCAATGAGGCAAAAGGAAAAAGGAAACCAGGCTTTACCTATTACAGACTTGTGAATTTTTCTTTTTTGGAGGATGGAGCATGAGGGTTGGTATGCTATTTGAATCTTGCCCATAGACCTAATCTGGAGTTTGCCTTTACTTCTGATACTTCTGTTCAATTTGTTTTCAAAAAATTAGAAGCTTTTTTTGGAATAATTTTAGGAGTCATTCCACAAAACTTCTTCTAATACTGTTATGAGTAAATAGTAATCAATATATTCACCCAACAAATTAAATCCTTAATCTGTGCCAAATCCTATGTTGTACAATGAATAATATGGGCTTTGGGAAATGCCTTCAAACATGGGAAGAACAAGATACCACGGAAAACAAAAGAAATATAATAATTGAGAAAACCACACAGAAATAATTCTAAAAACCTCAAAGTGACTGAAAATAATTCTATCTTTCTTAGAGAATTGTGGTATGAAGCTCTTCACTGAGCCTTGTCCCTAGAGGGAGGTAGCACATTCAGAATAATCTGTCTGTAGACCTGAAACACAAAACCCTGAAAGATTGCTAACTGACTTGGTAAAGGAAATCATATTTAACTTTTTAAAAAGTAACTATCATTTTGCAAACAATAGAATTGTTTTGTAGCAAATCCTGTAGGGAAAAAAAAAAACTACTGTAACCAATAAATGAGTTAGAGAAAACTGCAAGACACAAGCTTAATATACAAAATAGTGCTGCTTCCATCCAGTAACAATAAACAAGCAGAATTGAAATTTATATATATGCATATATAGTCATGCATTTATATATGTATGCATATATATGCACAAAAAACTTTAAACAAAATTTTAGCAGACTGAATCTAACAATATGTAAAAAGGACAATACATAATGATGAAGTGAGGCTCATCTCAAGAATGCAATTTATATATATAAACTTCAATTCTGGGCCAGGTGTGGTGGCTCATGTCTGTAATCCCAGCACTTTGGGAGGCAGAGAAAGTGGAGTAGATTGAGGCCACGGGTTCAAGACCAGCGTGGCCAACATGGCAAAACCCCGTCTCTACTAAAAATAAAAAATTAGCCAGGTGTGGTGGCGCACACCTGCAATCCCAGCTCCTCAAGAGTCTGAGGCATAAGAATCGCTGGAACCTAGGAGGCAGAGGTTGCAGTGAGCCAAGATTATACACCATTGTACTCCAGCCTGGGCAACAGAGTAAAACTCTGTCTCAAATAAATAAATAAATAATAAATTTCAATTCTAGGGTGTGTGTGTGTGTGTGTGTGTGTGTGTGTGAATAAATTTGACAAAAGATGTGTAAGGCCTATGCACTAAAAGACACAAAAAATTTCTGATATAAATTTAAGATCTAAATAAATAGAATTATTGTGTTTGTGGATTAGAAGACATATTAAGGTTCTCTCTAAATAGATCTATAGATTCAATGTCATTTCAATCAAAATCCCAACAGAAATTTTCATAGAAATTGACAAGTTAGGGCCAGGCACCGTGGCTCAAGCCTGTAATCCCAGCACTTTGGGAGGTTGAGGAGGGCGGATCACCTCAGGTTGGGAGTTCAAGACCAGCCTTACCAACATGGAGAAATGCCATCTCTACTAAAAATACAAAACTAGCTGGGTGTGATGGCACATGCCTGTAATCCCAGCTACTTGAGAGGCTGAGGCAGGAGAATCACTTGAACCCGGGAGGTGGAGGTTGTGGTGAGCCAAAATCATACCATTGCATTCCAGCCTGGGCAACAAAAGCAAAACTCCATCTCAAAAAAAAAAAAAAAGATGAAATTGACAAGTGGGACTAAGATGTATATGAAAATGCCAAGAGATTATAATAGCAAAAAAAAAACCTTTTAAAAAAAATTTTAAGGAACTTACACTACTAATATTTTTATAGTTACAATAATCAAGAAACTATGATATTGATATAAAGATAGACAAATAGAACATTGGAACACAATAAAGGGTCCAATAATAGGCCAACACATACGTGGTCAGCTGATTTTCAACAAAAATACCACAATCATTTGTTATGAATTGAATATTGTGCTTTCCCATCACATGAGGACACCATGAAAAGATTGCCATCTGAACCAGGAAGCAGGCCCTCACCAGGCACGAGATTTGCCAGCACCTTGATCTTGGACTTCCCAGCCTCCAGAACTATGAGAAATAAGTTTCCATTGTTTTAGCCACACAGTCTATGGTATTTTGGTATGGCAGCTCAAGCTAACAAATACAATCTCAAAATAAATAGGCTGAAAGAAAACAGAGGACAGAAAGTACGTACTGTATGATTCTGTTTACATAAAACTCCAGAAAATAAATAGTAAGAGAAGGCTGAGTCTAGATGGCCTGGGGTTGAATAGGGGTTGGGATGATGTACTGGAAAGATATACAGAAAGAATTAACAAGAAGCACAAGGAATCGGGCCACAAGGGAACGCTGGGGAGTGGTGCATATGTTCTTTATCTTGATTGTGATGATGATTTCACATTTCTATGACCATGTCAAAAATGATCAGATTGGACCTTGCAAACATATGCAATTTATTATATGCAAGTGTACCCCAGAAAAGGAGTTTTTAAGAAGGGCCAAACAAAAACAGAGATAAATGTTGAAAAATAATCACTCTGTACTACACAGAATATAATTTTTTTTCTTTCTCTTAATTATAGAGGGCAAACTTTCTCAAGCCTGCAAGGGTAACATGTTATGAGATTATATTTTCTTTATCTTATAAGTATCATATTTTATTGCAATAAACTGATCTATGTCATACATAACTTAACTCCAGGAAACCTGTCCATTATTCAGCATTTCTCAGTCTGGCCAAAGAGTGGCAGTGTTTAAAAAAAAAAAAAAAAAGTATTTGAGTAAGTTTGTGCAGTGCTGAACAAATAGGAATCTAGATATGGCTTCTGATTGGCGCAATCTCCTGAACCAATGAGTAAAGTAACTTCTGCTGGGGAAGCCCATTCAGTAAAATTTGATTTAGCTGTGTTTTCTAGGTAGCTAAGGGATGGAGACTGTTCTGCAAGTACTCCTAGGGATATTGGGGTTCCAAGCAGCCTGTGAGTATGTGGCTAGTCTGGGAGAGTTGTGAGATGATGACAGCATCCTGATGGCAAGAACTGATTTATCTTCTGTCCTGGGAAGGCCCTTTTGAGAGCCAGATATGTGTTGGAAATAAAAAGGGCAATACTTTGTTTTGATGTGACGATTCTGCTGCCTAGGGGGTGTTGGGAGGGGGAGAGAAACAGCATCCCTACTGTGACCATGAAAATCTTATGAGGGTCTTCTGTATTTTCTTTACATTGTCTTTTTGAACAGGGATCAGTAGCCAAGAACTGGAACAGAGTCCTCAGTCCTTGATCATCCAAGAGGGAAAGAATATCACCATAAATTGCAGGTCGTCAAAGACATTATATGCCTTACACTGGTACAAGCAAAAGTATGGTGAAGGTCTTATCTTCTTGATGATGCTACAGAAAGGTGGGGAAGAGAAAAGTCATGAAAAAATAACTGCCAACTTGGATGAGAAAAAGCAGCAAAGTTCCCTGCATATCACAGCCTCCCAGCCAAGCCACACAGGCATCTACCTCTGTGGAGCAGATGCACAGTGATCTTCAGGCCTCTATCAGCTGTTTCCAAACCTGCAGCTGGGCCACAGATGCTCTCCTGACATAGGGCTCCTGAGATGTGGCTGGGACCTTTGCCAAGACAAGAAGACTGAGAACATTGCAATTGTCTTATTGAAAAAAAAAATGGGGAGGAGGGTGGGAATCATACAAGGGGGAGCTATATCATTAATCCCAAATTTAATTTGACTTTATTGTCTGGTAGTTATGTTACTTTTTAGTAGGTAGAACATCTAACTGGAATGAGAATAGCATGAATTTCAGTGATTTATGCAAGAACTATGCATGAATATTGTGTCCCTGTTGTGCCAAGGAACTTCTTTCCCTTTGCTATTTATCCACCCTGTAAATAAAAAGAAATTGTACGTTGTTTGTTAAATTCTTTATCACATATTAACATTGTACCAAGAGTATGAAAATATCCATGCTGCAGAGTCAGAGGCAATACTTTTTCTAAGTTTGTAGTGTAGATATTTTTTAAAAAGACAAATGTTTAGATAGATAAATAGGAGATAGATAGATTATAGGTAGCTAGATTATTAGATAGACACATACATACATAATACATACATACATATATGGACAGTAGGTAGATTAGATAGCTAGGGGGAGAGAGAGAGAGAGAGAGAGAGCTAGAGAGAAGGGAATATATTAAGATATATCTAATTCAGTCTTAGACTGGCCTCCACTTCTCTTCTCACTG